GGCTGTGTGTGATAAAAAGAACAGTATTAGTAAGTAAACTGAATAAAGAATAATGTAAATAATAAGTTACTAATGTGAATCTCACCTCATCCAGAAAACTACAGTGAGCAGAGCTGCATTTCCACAGAGACTGACTCCAACAACTACATACAGAAACACTGAATACAGAAACACTGAACCACCTGCAGTGACACACACACACACACACACACACACACACACACACACACAGACACACAAACACTGCAATGACAAAATGTAACTAAGGCAACAAATATGAAAAAAAAATTGTAATAGCTGCATTTGAAGAATATAAGCAATAATAAAACCCTAAAGAAAAATTAGGGATATACTTTTATTATTCACCACCTACTCTTAACAGTGACCATCACAGTTCCATTCTGAGCTCCATGGTCATTCTGAGCTTCACAGTAGTACAGTCCAGTGTGGTCAGCACTGATGCTGATGATGCTGTAACTGTGTCCAGATCCTACAGGTGAGGTTCCACCTTCTTTAAACCAGGTGTAGATCTTCACAGGTGGGTATCCATCACTGCTGCAGGTCAGAGTCACTGAACTGCCCTCCGTTATTTCACCAGAGGGACTGATGGACACAGAGACGCTCTTTGGAGGATCTACAGATTAATATAAACTGATTTTTAATGTCAGATTTTATTTTTTTTTGTTGTTATTTTTTTATAATCACAGTTATTACAATAGTGTTTTTTCTTTCACTTGAGGTTCACCAAGAAAGATTTATCACATTATTCCATTTCTGCATCATTTTGAATTGCTTTTTTAAAAAGAAACTGTTAAACTCACATCTGACTCTGAGGTTGTGAGCAGTAGAGTTGAGATGTTGATATCCTCTTACAGCACAGCTATAACTGCCTGTATCCTCACTGCTGACTGTCTGCAGGTGGAGCTGGTTGTTCTTGATGGTCTTTGTGGTTAAAGGACGTCCATTTTTGTACCAGATGAATGTTGGGTCAGGCAGACTGCAGGTGGTTTTACATGCGAGATCTGCTGTTTCTCCCTCTGTCACTTCATAAAGAGTTTCTACATGGAGCTCTAAGACAGTAAGAGGACAATCAGATTAAGAGAGAAAAGCTGTAAAGTCAGTTTTCCTCATATATCAAAGTTGCATATAATGAAGCACATATTTTACTGCCAATTTTCCCACATGATAAAACTCACACTAACTAATTTACATGAAACATGCACTACCATATACAAATGTTTTGATAATGAGTCAATTAATAAGAAAATTATGTAGCAGTTACATGAGCCATAGAGGGAATTTGGGATCTGGCAGGAGTTGCACTGCTCCCCCTACAGGCAAACCTTGAATATCTGTATAGTTTTAAAAACAACATGAAAAGCAATTTCCTAAATATTTGAAAATAATATTATGTGAAGTGAATGAAATGTAACCTTTTTTCAGACGGTAGTGATGGGATGATTTGTGTACTGTGTTCTGCCTGGATACCATTGCAGTGGAGAGGCCCGCCAGTTCCTTTTAGGGCTTCATAGAAGAACTAATGTTTTCTGGCAACTAATACAATCCATTTTATTGCATTTTACCAATTTTTTTAATAGTATTAACTTCCTGTCTTATTGCTACATATTAGAAATGTTATAGTACTACTCCTGTTTCATCGTGAAGTTCAGGATGTAAACAAAGGAGTACAATTTTTTCAAATGCTAAACTGAAAAGAAAGAGGCTCTCAGCTTCTGCTGATAGTAAGATAGTAAATATATTTTTTAGTAAATATATATATTAAATATTATTTGCACTAATATCAATATTATGTCCCCGCAAATCACTACAAAAAGTTTAATGCTAACAGCAGGAGTTAGCATCATAGCTGACGTGTTTTTTCACAATGATTTGATGGAGTTTTGACAATTACGACCAGAGCTGAAGGCCGACCTCTAAGAGTCACAGTCTGACACCTGAACTGCAGTGTATGATGTGGATGCTACTGTTTTAGGTAAGCTGTTTTTTGTGTTTTAGAGATGGAGTTATTTAATATATCAGACTGAACTGTTACGTTTTCATATTGATCAGTGGATACATAATGAATACATGAATAAATAATAAATAAATATATAAATGGTCTAAAATTGTATGGAAAAAGTTGATACATTAAATTCTACCAAAACAAAAAAAACAAAAAAAAACAAAAAAAAATGAATGAAATTCTTAGAATCTATAGTGTAGTAATAACCCTGTCAGTTGAAGAAGTTCATATTATCCATAATTTGACATGGTGAGGGTCAAACAGGAAATGAGCAGATAAACTGAATCAGGTGTAAGAACCGATAAAATGATGTAAGAGTGAATCAGAACAGGAGCTGAACATCATTAGAGCAGATCAATAAAATCAAAAAAGCAGATGATTTAACTCACCTGTAACTCTGAGCTGAACTCCAGGTTTACCCAGCCATCTTTCTTTTTGTACATTTGTTATGATTCTGAAGCAGAACTGATGTTCATCCTTCTTCATTACATCATTCAGTTTGAGGGAGAAGTGTTTCTGTTCATCAGTGAAATATTCAACTCTGCCTGAATAATCTGGGTTTTTACTCAGATCAGTTGGATTGACCCATGGAACTGGTTCTATGAACCAGAAAGTCTCTGTCACTGTAAGACCTTCTGGGTGAGTATAAGTTCCATTCATAAACACTGTGGATCCTTTTAAAGCACATATTTCCCGTTGGTTGAACTTCACACTCCACTTTGTTCCAAAAGCTCCTGAAACATATGATGCATGAAAGAGCTGATTACAGAGTCTGGAGCCCATAGGACAGTCAGAGTTACTGTAGCTTACAGCTTCACTTCTCTCCTCTCCAACTCCAGCAGCTACTCTACAACACTGAGCTGATTCTGAGAGAAACCACAAAGCCCAACAAACACTGACTCACCGACAATCATGAGCAGAAAGATCAGAGGAAGAGGAGGAGCCATTCTGAGTGATCTCATCACAGCAACCTGGAGGATATTTTTAGTTAATGGCAGTTAAATTAAATGTTTCCAGATCTTCATCTAAAGTCCTGAAGAAGTCCAAAACTTTAAATGCTGACACTGTAATGAAGTCTGTGTTTCATTTAAACAGTTCTTCATTTTTTTTCATAATTGTATGTTACAGTAACCCAACTTGGAGGAACAAACATTTAGTACATTTTGAAAACAGCCATTAAAGTGACGTTTTAGTATTTATGACCAGCAGTTTCTTCACAAGTGAAGGTCTATACTGAGGGACATGTATCACCTTCTTTATTCAGAGCTATTCTTCCTCCCAAAATAATTCCACATGAGTTTAATCGATATTATTTGAGATTAAAAGGGTAGAAACATCAATCTAAACATAGATATCCAAATATGTCCTGTAGATAATGTTTCTCATAAACTATTAAAATGTTCTGAACTAAAGAAAACATCTTACCGTTCTGTAATGAGACTCATCTCCATCGTCCAAATGATAAATGGTGAGCACAGAGACAGAACTGAGATGATCAACTAGATGTGGTTCACACATTTACGTGTAAACTACTGCGCTCAGTTGAAATATGCAGACTTAATAAAATGGATCTTCCTGTGATAGGATGCATGTGACCTTCTTATCTGCAGTAAGAGATCTTTATCTTAAACGTCTGCAAAGTCTAGATTATCTCTTAGTGACACTGTGACGTTTTCTTTTCACATGTCTATTGAAGTTCTTTAAAAGTACACATATAATGATGTAGGACTTTATCCAGCTCCTTCTCTTCTCCTGCTACTGTATGAAGCAGTAATGATCACAGTATCATTGTGAACACACCCTCTTAACTTAGTCATGCACTGTACACTGGGGCAGAATCTCAGAAGCCATCTTAAAGGCCATGGAATTACTACATTATAACAAATGAAGGTTTTTTAAATTGAGTTGACACTTGAGGAATCAAACACGAGTGTTTATTTCAGCAGTAAACTGTTGCCAAAATATCACTGTAACCTGATTTATTTCCCTTTTCACCCCCATAAACACTAATAAAGCTGTATGTAAACCACAGCTATAAAACAGAAAGCTTAATATTTCAACACCACAACTTTCACTTTGTTCAAACTGAGATCCATGTATAAAACTACTCCATCTCCTAGAACTCACTGATGATACAGCTTCATTACTTCATTCTGCTAGCTTGATAGTTAGTAAACTAAAGGTTAAACAGCCAGTGAGAACAAAAAGATAATTACATTACACCTCTGCTCTGAAGCAAAGATTTTTACCAGTTTCTCCATTCAGGAGTCTGTTTAGTGTCTGTACTGTCACTTTAAGAGATGGTAGGGTTTGATGTCATCACTAGTCTCTGGATTGTCTGTTTGTGAGATAACAGGAAGAGGGTGCTGTTTTATCTGCTATGTGAAATTAGAGACTTAAACTGTATTGATGTCCACAAGCAGTTACACATTTTCATTCAGCTGTAAAACACTGATGAATTTGACCACAGGAAGAAGAGTTAATGCAAAGACAAATGCTAAGGGATCCTGATAAAACAACAAATCATGTATATAATAAAATGAGCCAAACATATAAAGAACTATTTTACAAGGCTGCATATTTTTATATCTTTTATTAAAGAAAAATGTCATAAACATGCAGAGGTGCAGAGATATGCAAGCTAAAGACTACATATTAATGAGAGAAAAGCAGATTAAAATACAAGCAAAGATTGAGATAAATATACATTGTACAACAATAAACATGTGCAGTTTCCTAAGAGAGCAAATAGTTTTGTCTGCATTGGTATCAGAAGCTCAATAATAGCCTTCTGACACAAATCAGTGCAGTGAGTCCAGCTCCTGAGGTGCTTATGAAGCTGTTCATGAACATGTTTACGTGTGTTGGAGATTAAAGCACACATGAAACTGTGCAGAGTTGGTCAACAGGTTTGGACCCCAACCACTGACCTACAACATGAAGCAGAAATATTTCATATTGACCTGTAGGGGGTGCTCTAACACTCTGTAATGACCCTACAGAGAAGCAGAGAGAAACAGACACAGAGAGGAAATTTACTCCTTTAACCTTCTGCCCCTGGTCAATGACCTGCAGTTTAAACTCTCATTATTCAATAAGTTTGTCCAGACTTCAGTTCCAGTGATGCATCTTAGTGTAGAACTGCTGACTGAAATGAGGCTCTGATTAAAGATCTGGTAGGACATTGTTTAGCCCGAAACAGAATCACTGAGCTGCTCTCTAATGACCACCTTTACCCACCAGATCAGAAACAGAGAAACAGACCTCAGATCATCTTCTACTCAGGATCAACATCAGGAGGACGTGGTTCACTGTTTGCTGCCCTCTAGAGGTGGAGATTTGTAATGACAGAAAAGAAAAGATCACATCCATAGAAATCTTAGAGGTGTGGAAGTGGGCAGTGATCGGGAGGCGGAGCAGTGAGCTCCCTCTTTCTCTCTCAGCTCAGGCTCTCATACTGACCTTAATGGGACACTGACGCTGGTTGGGCTTTGACAGAGTGGGCACCTTTTAAATGGTGGAAGAGGAAAGAGAAGAATAGCAGAGGGAGGGACGACCAGCAGTAGCCGAAAGAAGGACTGGAAAGTTGTTGTGTGAGAGAGTACAAGGAAAATGCTTACTGTAATTGTCAGAGTCCTTCATCTTCTAGGTTTAGCACATAGTGAGTTACACTGATATTTTACATTGTATGTTTTTACTCAAATAAATAAATAAGTAAATAAATAAATAAAACATTACTTAAAGCACCTTTGCAGGTCACACTCAGTTGTCTGTTGGTATCATTTGGTGTACATTACACAACTTGATATCTCATTGGTCTCAGTGTAACACCATGAACTGCTGTCAACAGTTACTAATGAATTCAGACATTGTAAACTTATTAAATTAATCTGAGAGTGTGTACAAAATGGAAATCAATAAACTGCTACAAATGAGTTTAATTGTTAAAGAAGCCTTTATTCACAGAAATCAAACAATAAAGAACAACAATAAAAAGATTGGTAAATAAAACACTGCTTAGTGCATGAGTAAAACATACAGATGGAGTTTTTAAAAATGATAAAGGTAATTGGAGTCACATGAAGATTTGGGTTTCAAATATATCTAAACCAAATAATGATATATATTACTACTAAATAATGAAATAATTCTAATCTCTAAACCATTAAACCTCTATACTACTGACAGTTTAGTTTTATGCATAGTAACAACAAAGAACAGCTCAACACTTCAGGAGTCCATCTATACCAATGGTCTCTCTCTCTCTCTCTCTCTCTCTCTCTCTCTCTCTCTCTCTCTCTCTGTCTCTCTCTCTCTCTCTCTGTATAGCATTTCTCAGCAGATCTAATCTTTTCTTACTGTGCTGTAAATCACTGAGGGATGTTCCACATTCTGAATTGGTGACCAACAAAACAAAGAAGGTGAAACTTTAACTTTTAGCACCTAAAAAAAACAGAAGTTCAAAATAAGTGAAATAAATCCCCCGGCAACCGAAAGGCATGACGACATGCACATCTAATGTTTACCTTTTAAATACCATGTGATATACCTGTACTTCACGAGCATTTCTCTTAACTTCTCTTTACTTTAACTGATGTTGATTATCACAGATTTTATCATGCAGTCTTAACAGTGACCATCACAGTTCCAAACTCAATACCCTTAGAAACAGTAACAAAAAAGTCTACAGCTGGAATCTGCATTTCCTCAACAGCAAACCACAGTCTTTTAGAATGGGTGACCACATTTCTCCCACTCTCACTATCAGCATTAAAACATCAAGGCTGTGTCTGATCACACCTGCTGTGCACCCTGTACACCAACCTGCATCGCCAAGCACAACTCCAGCACCATGATCACGTTTGCTAACAATACAACAGTAGTGGACCTCATTAATAAGAACATGGAGGAGTAGAGAGAGGAGGTGAAACTTCTCACAGAGTGGTGCAGTGATTTACCCTCATAAATTACAGTGTGAGGGTAAATCACTCTTATTTCTGGAGGGAATAAATATTCTCTTTAAATCTGAAGCACAGCCAGAATCAGGACCCAAACCTGGATGATGGTGGCCAACACTCCCAAACACAGTACCTTCCCAAACTGCTTTCACATAACCTGAAACATTAATATCACAAACTTGAAAAGGCAACTGAAAACCTTTACTCAGTGTTTTAGGAACTAAATACAACCTGGTTAAGCTTGTGCAAAGCATCATGGGAACAAAAGCATGCTCTAACACTACAATATTGGCATAAAAATGTGCATAAAAAGAGACTCTGAAATTCTAACATGAAGTTCAGAAACTGTTAATATGTGGTCCAGTTTGTCCACCTGTTTCTTTAAAGCCAGTGAGCACTCGAGCTGGTAATGAACTCCATAAATTTGTGAAAAAGCCTCTGATAAGCAGATCAAATCCACCTAAAAGTGGTCCAAACATGAACTTTAATGAAGAGATAAGACCTAAAAACTTGTTTTGTACGAAGGCCGTAACATGGTCAATGTCATAAATCTTTCTTTAGTTTGAATATTGACCTAAAAATAGTGCAGAATCTTCACTATTTTTTTACTTGTCTTCACTTTTCTTTCTTTTAATTTTTTCAAACTTCTAAATCTTCCCGTTTATTTTCAGGCTTAAAATGAAAATCATCCCAGATTTTCCATGTGGTCTTTTCTCAACAAGATTCTCTTCTTTTAAGATGGAACTTACATCATATGCTTCGCTCAGTAATGTCACTCATTAAAATGTCATCAAACTGTATCCATTCCTTCTATGTATTCTATATTTTAAACTTGTGATCTCTTATTTAACTGTTATCCACAGTTTTATTCACAGTTCCTCTAGTTTTGTTCTTACATTGTGATTTTTACTTTCTGACATTTTGTCTTATTTTATCATTTTACAGTTGTAATTTTGGGTCATAAATGAATAAAAGTTATATATTAAATGTTTTTATTAAATGTATATTTTCTTATTATTATTTTTATTTTATTATTATTCCTATGACTACATGTGACTGTATGTGTCAATTTGTACAATAAATATCCAGTTTCTCAGAGGAGAGAAACGGCGCCCTCCTCCTTTCAATTCACAAACTGCAGACAGAGACACCAGTGATGACGTCAAACCTCACAGACTCCTAAAGTGGTAGTAAAAACACTTATTATACCTCTGAATAGAAAATATTAAAGAAATATCTGGTAACATTTGAAAAATGTAAATAAATTTAAAATTTGCAAATAAAAACAGAAAGCAATGATGTGAAAATCATTTAAACTTTTAAATTTAAACAATTAAATATTTTTAATTAAAATAGCACAAAGAAAGCATATCAAATGTTGAAACTGAGAAATTGTTTTGTTTTATAATATACATACCCATATTGAATTTGATACCAGCAGCACATTTCAAAAAAGCTGTGATGGGGACGTGTTTAATGCAGTGCTGCCAGAGGGCCTGAAGTTCATGACCAGCCAGTATTGGTTTTCGGTCTTGTCCTTTACAAACAGAGATTTCTCTGGATTCTCTAAGTCTTGTGTTCTGTACATGATCTTTGCTCTTTTATGTTGAGAAACATTATCCTTGAATTGTTGCCCTATTTATCTGTGCAGTCTTTCACAGAGTGGTGAACTCCTCCCCATTTTTACTTCTAAAAGACTCAGCCTCTCTGAGATGCTCTTTTATACCCAATCATGTTACTGACCTGTTGCCAATTAACCACCAGGTGTTTTTCAGCATTACACAACTTTACCAGGCTTTTGTTACTCTGTCTCTACTTTTTTTAATTTTATTTTTTATATACATTTTAACTTATTATTTTTGAGTTGATAATAAATCATTAAAACATTAATTTATTTACATTAATAGGAATTATATCCAGCTCTTAGAGCATAACATCTGCTTATTCAACATATCAGCTTAATCAACATATCACTCCAATTCTTTTAAATCATTATAGGATGTTATGATATTTGGGTTATTACTCCAAAATAATGAAGTTCCACTAAGGTTACATGGTCTTAGCAGTTATTTTGTTATTGAAATCAATAAAGACGTTGGGGGAAAACTTCCTTCTTTGTTTCTTACGCATAATGTGTTTAAATGGTCAGGTGCAGTGTGATGTTCAGACACAGTTACAGGCTGCAATTACAGTGAAACTAAATGTTTTTGCAGCTGTCAAATCCAAACTTACTTTTCTCCATCTTGTTTCTCAGTTACTGTATCTCACATCAGGTGAAAATACCAGTTCATCAGAATAATCTGGATTGCTGCACTGAAATGATGACTAAATTACTGCATTATATTCACTTATAATTGTTCTATTATATTTACATGCATGCCCACCTACAGACAGTGTAGTTATACAGGAACAGATGAGATAAATATACTGAGATACACACAATCAACACAATCAGTTAATCACACACTGTTACTCTTATAGAAACCACAGACCTGACACAAACATCATAGGACATTCGTATTTATCTTACCATTTGGTTTATTAACATGTAGAAAATTAGCACATTATTTTATGACATTTTTTTTACTAACTAGTTACAATTATCTTATTATTTTGTAACAACCTAAAAATTAGCATTTTTTGTAAAGTACAGCCCCTTACTATAATATCACCATGTTATTACCCAATTATTACTGATCTGTAAAGTAATGCTGCGTTTCTGCTTTGTAGGTAAAAGTTTTCAGCATTTCAGCATACAGCAATACACTAAACTGGTTAATTTAGCTGCTAATCAGACTTGATGGAAACATTCAATCAGACTGATGCAGAGTAAACTGTGCAAACAGAAGATCATCACTGTTTGACATGTGTGTGGGGTTCTAACACTCTCTAATCAACCTACAGAGTCTCATGTAGAGAGAGACAGAGAGAGATTCATGCCCAGCTCCCTGGCCCTCTTCTCTCTCAGTCTACCCACTATGTTTATGTGGAGGGTTCATCTTATTGAGGGCTGTTCCAGAATAATAAGAAAGGAGTGG